AAGACACATGGAAAATAAAAAGGGCATAAGATAGCTCCGGGAACATTACGGTGGGGAAAAATTTGTGGCTTACTTGATGTCTTTCTAGTACACAAAAAAGGGAAATATTCCATATAATAAAAAAAAAAGGTGATTGAAAATAAAAAATATGGGGAAAAAAGTTTTACCTGGGAAGTTGTTACCGGTATGTGCATCACTAGCAATAAATGATGTTTGTCTTTCAGTGTCTGAGTCTGCACTTTTCCCCCTTCATTTGACAATACAGAATGGCATAGACAATTACGAGGAATGAAAATTGGGACAGACATTCATCATATCACAGACTTCTTTTGTCAATCCTGAAACACCTTCTTCGTGCCTTGGAAGGGCATGATGCCTGTTTCCTGCATTCTCTGCAGTTTCCTCTCTTCTTTCTTCTTCTTCCGCAACTCTTTCTTGGCGGCCCAGGAGGGATGGATCCCCTTCTTCGTCTTGGGGGCCTCGACGCGTCTCTCGTCGCCCTCGGGGCCCTGCTGGGAGAGCGACTTCACCTTCGGGAAGTTCCGCCTGTGGTTGTAGCACAGCACGGGGATCCCCTCGGAGTCGAACTTGATGATCTTCCCCCGGAAGCGAGACCGGCGAATCTTCTCCTTCTCCCGCCTCCTTGCGACCCAGGAAGGATGCTCTTCTCCGGTCACTGTCTTTGGCTCTTTCCCTGAAGAAATTGCCACATGCAATTAGTTGTGAGAATTAACAATACCCCATCATATCCAGTCAAGAATACCTGAAACTCATCAGTTTCCAATTTTTCAGGCTAGATATGACTAGTCCTAGATTAGGTGAGAACTTTTCTCATGACCAAGTTTTTAAAAGCACAAATTATCATAACATTTCAAAAAGCATTGAAATTTGCCATTTAGGCCTACCTCTCTCACCCAATAATTTGCCAATGACTAAGGCACCATTGGTCTCCAGAACTCAACCCGGACCCTAAGGCCTTAAAAAACTTACCACAGAGAGAATTAGAGCCACCAGGGAATTCTGAATTTCAAATTCACCAAAATGATGGAAGAACTTATGAAGATCATGACCCATAGTGCATTTTACACCATGAAGTGGCAGTATATAAACTGGATGGCAATCTGAGATTCAGTCTGAGATTGTACCAAGATGGAACATCTCATGAGATCCACTCTTTCTCTGAGATTTGATGAATTGTACAGAAAAGAGCATCAAATAAATGTTTGCAACAAGACCTAAACCCACATGGATATTCCGGAACTCTGTATAATGAAACACCAGGGAGAAAAAAAACTAAAACATTCCATTAAACTTGATGAAAGTCAAGTTACAGAATCAAAGCCAGTTTTCTCACCCAGAGTTAATTTCTCTCATACCTTTCAACAACCAGAAAGTGTGGCATTTCCCATGCACACCCATAAGTCATTTAAAAATCCAGCTTGTGCCAAATTTACGAATTTTAAAACGAAAGAAGGCGTAGGCAATCCTCTAGTTACCTCGTGGTCTATATTTAGGCCTAGCCCCCGGGCCCAACCGCAGGAAGCCAGTCCTCACAGGCAGGCTCAACACCTTCATCTTCGTCTCAGCAGCAAGTCCGGAAAGAAACAACTCCTCAACGTGACATCACACGCCATCCGCCAAAACGTTCACGCCCCAGCCGACAGAGAGGGAATGGAGGAACGACCAAGAGGAAGTCGACGCACG